GCACAAGAACACTCATACTTGCAGATAGTACCCACTTAACCTGGCTTCGATGGCTGGATGATCAGAACTTGACTAGAAGAAAAAAGTAGAGAGAAGAAGAAGAAACAAAGAGTAACCCACTACAATTTGATAAACTTTATCTATATTTGTGGATGTAATAGCTCAAAAAACGGAACATATCTTTACAGCAAGGATCACTCCCAACCCCTCGGTACACAGGGTTGACAGGGATGGGTAACTTGGACATTGGCTAAAATGGGGAGGTGGGGGTGGCTATAAAGGCATGAAGTGTCTGGCTTACAAGCTTTCAAGAGGGAGCCTATTTCTAGATGGGGCAAGGGTAGGTAAACTCTTCACTGAATTGATTTCCAATCTGTTGGAACCGGGCTGGTGAAAGGAAATGGGGATAAGACTCTTGTGTTACAATAGTGAATAATTGCCATTAGGACTGACTGTGAGGGTCAGAAATGTAGACATAAATGTTTTTGACAAAAGGAGGGGAGTGATTGATTTTGCAGCCCAGGAGCAGAGGTCCCTGTGATCATCAAGTGAGGACAGTGGAGAGCGTGACCTTACCCAGAGAGGCAGTGATGCCAGGGATGGAGATAGATATAATGATGTGGACAGATGGAGCGTCTGGGGACACTGGACTCAGGGAGGGAGAGGAGTTGTGTGCTAACATCCAGGGAATGGGGGGGGAAGGGGGCGGGCCTTTTGTTTATTTAATGATGCATGGAGGGGATTGTAATCATTGCAATGAAATGAAATACAATAGGATGAATGTAAAACTGTTGTTCTTCCATGCAAACCTACATAATTCACATTTTTTAAAAAAATTCAGAATTAAATATGTATTTATGTATTGTAATTCTATATTTGCTAACATTTTTCTTTCTCTTCCTTTAAACATTTTTTTTCAGTTATAAATTCCCAGAAGAATTTCTAGATTTGACATCACAGATTGTCAATGGTACAATGAATCTTTATAAAGAAGCAATGAAGAATCTCTTACCTACTCCAGCTAAATCTCACTACTTGTTCAACCTCCGTGATTTCTCTCGGGTTATTCAGGGTGTTTGTTTGTCAAGACCAGAAACAGCAGAAACCAAAGAAATAATTAAACGTCTCTGGGTTCATGAGGTAAAATTGCATATAGTAACAAGGTTGTTATACAAGAAGACAATATTTTACCATACTAAAATCTGGTATAAAAAGAAACTCTCAGCCATTTACACTGCTCATGCATTCGGATAGGTATGTCTCAAATGCATTCAGATAGGTATTTTAAGTATTTAAACTAAGATATTTTGTGGTGTTCAAAATGCTTTTTTCCCCATTTTTAGGGATTTCTGTTGATTTATAGACTCTTTCAAAATAGGAATCACTTTAGATCAATCTTCTTTAAGTGATTTAATCTTTGTTAATTGGACTCTAAATAATTTTAAGATGGAACACATTCTAAGCAGTTGCTTTTGTAAGAAGTGAATTTATTTATTTACATATTGCTTAATTGTAGTATTGCAAGATGCCAAAATCACCACATATCCAGTTTTACAATTCAGTTTGAAAGCATAGAAACTAAATGTGGTTTAGGTGGGTTTGGATTGCTGACCTTGTGATTAACAATCCAATGCTTATCCTATAGCAAATCAAAACCACAATGAGCTAACACTTCCTATCCACTAGGATTGCTATAATCCAAAAGACAATAATAGCAAGGGTTAGTGACGATGCACAAAAATCAAAACTTTATCCACTGCTATTAAGAAAGTGAAATGGTGCAGCCTCTTTGGAAAACAGTTTGGCTATTCCTCAAAAAGTTACAGAATTAATGTATGATCCAATAATTCCCCTCCTCTGCATGTACTGGCATAGTGTTGTGGGATAAAGCACTGGACCGCAAG